AAGGATCCCAGAAAGAGAGAGGGGCACCAAACAGAACCTCCTTCATCACTGGGGAAGCAAAGCAGGTGGAGGAGTCCAGCCTTTGCATCCATGGTGCATCACAAGTGGAAAGATCCACAGGGATTACCTGCAAGTCTTTTATTTTCAGCCCAGCTAACCACACAGAAATCGGTGTTTTCTCTGCAGATTGGCTGAAGAACCACCAAATGCCAAAGGGAAAGTAAAAATCCCATGGCTCAGGATGCATTTGTCAAGTGAGCCCACATATTTTCATCTGATGTGTCACCCGAGAGATACCTCCCACTCCTGTTCAATTTATTATGTACATGAGATAAATCACAAGATATAACCTGTCACAAATGCTAGAATTAAAGCTGCAAATACACACGTCACCGGTAATTGCCTCGGCAGATTATAGCTTCCATTCCACATTCTACCACAGTTGATCTAGCTCTGTAGTGCTTCCAAGGCATAGCCCGAGCACCGTTCAGAGCTCAAAAGAACAGGAAACCTCGGGAAAGGCTCACAGGAACCCGGGGAACAGTGGGTGTCAGTGCAGACCTACTGCACTGCAGAGCTGCTTGTCCTGGAACCTTCTCAGTGATACTGAAATGTTCTTTGTCATCAGGTCCTTTCAAAGGACTGCTTCCCCATCTTAAATAAACAGGCTTCAGCCTAAATATTCATCCATGATGTTTGAAGTTTTACTACCTAAGTCACCTTTAACAATCTGATATTTGGTAACTGCCTCTTCCAAGTTCTTTGGAGAATAGCAAATTCAAGGAGATGGATAAGACATCATAAAAGCACATCATTTGCAGTGCCCTCAACTCCACTTATAAAATCTTTTATTCGGCATCCATCTTTCCACTTCTAATTCATGCAGGCAGTTTACTGTCTGGCTCCCATGCAACATTAACCAAACCAAGAACGAGAATGAGGGTGTTTTACATACACAAGGCCGTGCGTGGCCACAGGATTTCAGCGACCTGAGGTAGGGAAGTCTCCTTGCTAAGAGAGCAGATAAAAGTAATCCTGTGTCCCGCCATTTGTTATTCTCCAACGGCTTCACACTGTGGCATCCTCTCACAAGATCTCAGACCTGTACATTAATAGTAATAATCAGTAAGCTAAACAGGAATACAAACACCCCAACACTTCTCAAAAGATGCCAATAACCTTTCAATATATGCAGAGGTCCAAGGCATTAGTGGAAGAATACCAATGAGCTAAAACATATTATTAGAATAAGTGCCTTTCTTGGACAAGAAGAAATTCAGAAATTCAGCTAATACACTGGTCTATTGCACCTTAACTCGATCCTACTTTTTAAGAAGTTAAGACACTTATTGACATAGGCGGCTGTCTTTTCAGTGCTGAAGGAACAAATGTCAGGTTTTCTTGGGTCCTCAATGAAGGAAAAATTTAAATACAGATATTCAAGCAAAGTAAAAGACAGAAAGGTCACGGTTGGCCTTGCTCAGGCTTTGAATTCAAGCAGCTGCTCACTGAAATGAACTCCTTCAAGGCCAGAAAACGGCCCATCCTCACAATGGCATTGAGGCCTTCAAGGAGAGTGCCTTTAAGATGACTCTAAGAAAAAACAGACCAGCCAAAGTTTAATTCAATTTTATTTTCCACTTTTAGTATTTTTCAAATTATACAACATGCAGTCGGCCAGAGTATCCATACATCTTCATTTTAGAACCTAGAAGATAACCAAAATTTTCCATGGGCCAGGGAAGAAGGGTTACTCCAGATCTTTTGTTACATGTACTATATTACAGCATCGTTACTTGATGTAAACTGCCCTTCTCCCCCTCACACCACCAAAACAAGTTAGTCCACAATTTTTTTTAATGAAAGCTACTGTACAGATACACAAAGCCCAGAGAACATACATCTGCAGTACACACGACATACTTTACAAACTAGACATGTATAATTCCACAGAGTGCCCTATTCCCCTTATATCTGCACACGGTGAAAAGTATTTTAAACCAATGGACAATTTGTAAATGTGTAAGCAGACTTCACGGAGCGGTACTGCCTTCGGCTGTTCCCTGACCCTTATTCAATACCTTCTAAGAAGTCTAAACTGTTATTGTTCAATGAAGGCATTTTAGACTGGGATGGTTCCTTTAGCTTGCTCACAATACGCAGGTGAGACAATCTATAAGTGAAATCCTCCGGGTCCCCCACCTCCTGCCCGCTGCCAACCAACAACTTCCCTAATGTGTCCTAAAGCCAGAGTCTAAATGTTGTCCACCTTGCTTAAAAACTACACTTCAAAGAGGGGACTGTTAAGAATTTTTATTTGCTTTCGGTTATTCCTCTAGGAAAGGAGAGGTAATAATCCCCCCATAAGTCTTGCTGATGGCTTAGTCTGGCTTTGGACAGGAATATCACGCCCTCATGTGAAGGTAGGGCTTCCAAAAACTCTCTAGATGCTACATTCTAGACAGACGTTTTTATTTCTTCACTTATCCCAATATTTCTACGAATTCTAATTTTCTTAATCATATGATACTATTTCCTTTAAAAGTCTTAATCCACACTTATTTTTCTCCCTACTACCTGCCATTCCACATGGCAAACTTTAAAACATTGGAAGAGGTGATGCATTTAAACAGAATTCTCCAGTTACTGACCAAAACACACTTGGCATTAATATATTTTAGTCTCTGACCATACATGTTGATATCGCAAACAGCATTCCTCTAATTTAACAATCCACCATCCTGCAGGGAGGCATTATTTTTAGAAATCATCTGGTTATTCCCTTTTAGCATCAAAGAATAAACTTTCAAGAAGTAGCATGAAATATAAAATTATTCAGAGAGGAGAAACACACACACACACTAGCAAAAAGCAGCATACAACCGAAAATATAATCATAGGCTCAGCCATTCACAAATGTGGTTTTTACACCTGGAGTACAAAGGTAAAGGAACAATAGCCTAAAAAAGTGAAAATTGCATAAATGTGGCTTTTAACAAAAGAGGCCTACAGAATATGTGGTCCTGAAACAAAGTAATATTAGGGATCCATTTGAATATACTGTATAATCCATTCCCACGATCTGCCTACCTTTTAGTCACAGTGTAGGAAAATTAGTTTAGAGGTCCTATAAAGATTGAAGCTAGGTGAACTGACTGGCTGATCAGCAACTAGCAGAATTATCTTTAAGAGACATCAAAGCCAACTTTCTCTGTGAATAAAAGTAAACTGAATTTTGTGAGTCCCTTATAGAGATCAAGAAATATGGAACTACAAGTGAATGTTTCTTTTTGAAACATGAAAGGGCCAAACACTTCTTTAGAATTAGAAAAGGGGTGCCCAGGGAAAACTTAACTTCGGAAAAAATCTAAAATAATCTGTTAACAAGAGAGCCCAAAGGAAAGAATTCCTAACCTTTGTTCAATTTCCAACTATGGAGTTACACAGTTGCATAACAGACAGCAGTGGTATGACAATTTATTATTTGGCGATCCTCTCAAAGGCCGGTTTGAACTTCTAAAATAAGAGGCAAACATCTTAACAGCAAGGTTATAATCTATGGCATATGTTATTACCTGATAAGGTTTGCAAAGCCTGCCCTACAAGGATCCTTCTGTCAGACGGTAAATAGCACTGGAGCAGTTATTTTGGGCGAGCATTAGCACCAATGTAAAAAAAAAAAAATCAAACAGAATTTTTAAAACGTAAATGAATGCAAAATTGTCATTTTTACTAAATAAATACGTCAGTAGAATTTGTCCTCTTCTCTCTACTTACTAGCTGCCCCCCCCCCAAAAAAAAACCCACACATAAACAAAGTGCAACATTTAACAAATAAATTAAGTCAAAGCAGCTTTGCTTGGTTAGGGAAATTTTATACAAGAAAAGTCTAGAAGTCAATTCAGTCTTTAGTGCTTTATCCACAGACACACACACACACACACACACACACACACACACACACGAACTATCTTTCACACACCAGCAATGAGAAAGCGCAACGTCTCTTCTGGCAAAATTTCATTCCAGTGGTGACAGCAGCAGGGACAGTACCAGCTCACTCATCCTGGGCCGACACAACCATAGGATGGGTGCTTTCACTGAGACTGGTTTGGTTATCATGGACTTAACCCTCAAATTTATCAAAACAAGTAGTTAACCCTCAAATTTATCAAAACAAGTAGCAGCACACAAGACTAACTTAATTGAATCCTTGTCAGTTTCCCTGAAAACTTTACTACTTGGAATTCAATCATTTTAATATGCACAACTGGAAATAAGAGTTGATTCAGCTTTAGATTCATGTATTTGAATAAAACAATAGCCGAATGTAAAAAAAAATCCATCCACACTGATTTCTTCTAATTCTGCCTAAGAGGAAACCTATCTATTTGATGCCAAGGAGAGAACTCAACTAAATGGTCGGCAAGGATGGGTTAATATGACAAATTATTCATGGCAACTTATTCATAGGCACAAACATATGTCAATTGCTTTCCCCCTAGGGCTTCCTTTTTCAACTGCTGGAATGATCCTGGATTTCGTCAGCAATACCCTCACCAGGGTCAAGATGGTTCCGTAGAGAAAGAGGCCATCCCTGATGCAAGCTCCAGTAGGATGAGGGAAGAGGAAGCAAGGAGGGGGGCAGCCGCATTTCCACTCATCCAACTTTGCAGCATTTTCAACACTTCTGAAGGAATGATGTTCTACCTGGGCTGGCTGAGACTAGTCACTGCAGGTTCAAGAGCAAGCAGCTCAGAGGTGAATGCTATGACTTTTCGCATTTACACAGATGTGTCTGAGTGAACAATTTCTACGTTCTGCTACTGTCAGATTGTTTTTCTGCCTCGAAGAAATTTGCTTTGCATTTTAACGGGTGCCATACTAAAAGGTGTATTTTACAGATCCAAAGATGCGACCAGGATATTCAAAATGCGTCTTTGGGGTGATTTGTTTTGGAAAAGCGTCCAGAATGAAAATTTTGAGCCCTATAGCAGCACTTTTGTGTTCCCTAAAAATATAAAGTAATGTGTTTATTTTACAGGAAACCAGACAGTTGCGGCGGCGAAGCAGAAGCTGCTGCCTCCACGGCACTTGGTTGTTCCCCTCCAGGGAATGGTATTTGCTGGGACGTGGCTGCAGAGAAGGAGTCTCCAAGGACCACCCAGGGACCACCCAATGCCCCGAGCCCGGGGCCACAGCAACAGATCCCAGGAGTAAGTGGATCTTCTGTAATCGCCCCCTTCAGATTTCTCGGGAAGAGAAAAGTCCAAGCACACATCTGTACACAGAAACTCTACACAGCTCAAATATCTGAAACTGGTGTACTGCAGATGGCTGGGGTGAGCAAGTGTAAAAGAAAATGGAATTGTGTAGGAGGGAAAAAAAGTAAAGGAATTGGTGATTAATGTAGTCCTTGACATGCTACGTGGAGAGTCATATCTGTTGAAAGAGAACCAAAGAGAGAACATAGGAGTTAGAGAACACAATGGAAATTCACTCCTCAGGAAGAACAACAAAAAAAAAACTTTTAATTTTAGATATTTAGACCAGAGCTGTCCCAATAGAAATACCATGTGAGCCACACATTTAATTTTCAATGTTCAAGTGGCCACATTAAGCAGCGAGAAGCAGCGGGTAAGATTAACTTTAATAATACATTTTATTTAACCCAATATACTCAATATTATCATTTCAACATGTAATCAAGTAGTAGAGATTGAGATATTTTCCATTACAATATTACTACTAAGATAGTTCACAGTCTTTTTTCCCACAGTGTTTGCCATCTGGTGTGTATTTTGCATTTCCCACACATCTCAGTGTGGACTTGGCCACATTTCAAGTGCTCAGTAGTCACATGTGGCTAGTGGCTAGCCTACTGGACAGTACAGCCTCCTATTTACTGCTTTTGCTCTAAGTATTTAGCCCTGACAAGTGTCTCTTCCCAAAGCCATGCCTATTGAAACTATAGCTATTTGGAGAAACATAACACATTTTCTCATTCCTCCAGGGCACCCAAACATCATTTCTCACTTGACAGCACTTTAAGATACCCAGGCAGGTCAGACACACCCCCTTAGCCAGGCCCTCTCAAAAAGGAGGCTCCCAGTCCTGAAAGGTGTGTTTCACCTCCCCAGTGTGATGACGTTACTCAGTAGGGCACCCCCTATGATTTCACTCCACGCGCCCCCCCCCCACCAGATGTTCACCTGATCACCGTCAAGTCTCCAGGATGAAAGGCGACTAGTCCTGACTCAGAGGCCAGCCCTTTATCGGCATTTGGACCAACTCTAATGAACTCAACTTTCAGGAAGAAACGGAAAGGCTCAACTTCCTCACATCAGCTGGAAGCCCTGGGTCTGTCTGTGATCCTGCCTGTGGGTTATGTGCAGAGCTCATGGTGCTTCTGGGGTGGGGAGTGGGTGACAAGAGAGCTAGGTGGAGGCTTGAGAAACACATGGGGACTGCCAGGCCCAGGAAATGTGACAGACGCGAAGAAAAACCCACCTGCTCTTCTGATTTTAAAAAGAACTCCAGACAGATATATAACGGAATACTACTCAGCCACAAACAAGAATGAAATTTTGCCATTTGCAACAACATGGATGGACTTGGAGGGCATTATGCTAAGTGAAACAATTCAGGCGGAGAAAGACAGATACTGTATGCTACCACTTATCTGTGGAATCTAAAAAGATAAAGCAAACTAGTGAACATAACAAAAAAGAAACACACTCATGGATATAGAGAACAAACTAGTGGTTATCAATGGCGGGGGAGGGAAGGGGGGAGGGGCAAGACAGGGGTAGGGGATTAAGAGGTACAAACTACTATGTATAAAGTAAATAAGCTACAAGGATATATTGCACAGCACAGGGAATACAGCCAATATTTTATAAGAACAATAAGTGGAGTATAATCTAGAAAATTTTAAAATAACTATGTTGTACACCTGAAACTAATGTAATATTGTAAATCAACTACACCTCAATAAAGAAAAGAACTCCAACTCAACACCTCATGCTGTTTTTGCCCCTAGAAGGCTTACATCCAAATTTAGTGCTTGACTGTGGTTCCTGCTACAGTGCTGCCCGAGCCCACCCCCTGGACTCAGGTTCCTGCTACAGTGCTCTCTCCCTCTCTAATTTTTTTTTGGCTTCACTCTCCTGATTTATGTGTTATAATACTGTAAGCAATCTCACATATTTTTGTATAAATAAGCAGGATATAAATTATAATAGAAAAATTTCAGAGTGTGGAAAGGGATTTTAAAAGTAGATAAAAGCAAAGTGGGTGAGGGGGAAAAAAAGGAATAAAGGGAAAAAATTGAGTAGAAAAAAAAGAGAACACATTCCTTTTTAGAATACTACCTCTTCATGCAGCTCAATATCAAAAAAACAAACAACCCAATCCAAAAATGGGCAGAAGACCTAAACAGACATTTATCCAAAGAAGATATACAGACTGCCAACAAATAAATGAAAGGATGCTCAACATCATTAATCATTAGAGAAATGCAAATCAAAACTACAATGAGATATCATCTCACACCAGTCAGAACGGCCATCATCCAAAAATGTACAAACAATAAATGCTGGAGAGGGTGTGGAGAAAAGGGAGCCCTCTTGCACTGCTGGTGGGAATGTAAATTGATACAGCCACTATGGAGAACAGTATGGAGGTCCCTTAAAAAACTACAAATAGAACTACCATACGACCCAGCAATTGCACTACTGTGCATATACCCTGAGAAACCCGTAATTCAAAAAGAGGCATGTACCACAATGTTCATTGCAGCTCTATTTACAATAGCCAGGACATGGAAGCAACCTAAGTGTCCATCGACAGATGACTGGATAAAGAAGATGTGACACATGTATACAATGGAATATTAGTCAGCCATAAAAAGAAACGAAATTGAGTTATTTGTAGTGAGGTGGATGGACCTAGAGTCTGTCATACAGAGTGAAGTAAGTCAGAAAGAGAAAAACAAATACCGTATGCTAACACATATATATGGAATCTAGGGGAAAAAAAAATGGTTATGAAGAACCTAGGGGTAAGACAGGAATAAAGACACAGACCTACTAGAGAATGGACTTGAGGATATGGGGAGGGGGAAGGGTAATCTGTGACCAAGTGAGAGAGTGGCATGGACATATATACACTACCAAACGTAAAATAGCTAGCTAGTGGGAAGCAGCCGCATAGCACAGGGTGATCAGCTCGGTGCTTTGTGACCACCTAGAGCGGTGGGATAGGGAGGGTGGGAGGGAGGGAGACGCAAGAGGGAAGAGATATGGGAACATATGTATACGTATAACTGATTCACTTTGTTATAAAGCAGAAGCTAACACACCATTGTAAAGCAATTATATTCCAATAAAGATGTAAAAAATAAAAATAAAAAAAGAATACTACCTTTTCCCCAACTCAAAAAATACATATTCAGGGAGCTCATCTGATAACTACCATTTCTTGCTCCAATAGTGCAATCACTTGCAATTACAAAGCTGCTCAATTAAAAATGGCAAAGCAACCTTATATTCCTGTCATTTTTAGAAGTCCCAGAGAGAGAGGGAGAGAGAGAGAGATTTGCCTTTGGGAGGAGCATCTGTACTGTTTAGACTTTCTGGTGAGATTCTGTGCTTATTATTAGGACCAGAAATGAAAAACCTAAGAAAGCATAGTCACAGTTGTCATTCAAATCCATTTTGAGCGGAAAACCAAGAGGCTCAGGAATGCTTTCTGCATACTCCCTTTGAAATGCCCATTTTACCATCCTTCCAGGTTAATTTTTCCAAGCACAGGATCTCAGAATCACTTATGGGTCACCCTGGTCAGATGAGACAGCCGTCCTACACACCTGGAGGCAGGGAGGTACAAGCCCCTACCTTAAATTGTAGGGTTATGGCCTGACGTGATGACAGCAGCCAACCCATGCTGACAGCCAAGCTCTAGGCACACAGACTCAACAGGGTAGCCTCGACAGCTCCAGCCAACCACAAAGTGACACGATTTCCACAGAAGGCCTTTCTTTCAAATCCCCCCTTCCCCCAACGTGTAAGATTCTGCACGTTTTAGCTAATAGTTTGGAAGAAACAGGGGGCCACAAAGGAGGCCCAATCTGCTTAGTTTAACCACCTCCAGGAGCGCAAGAGAGAACTGAGATTTTGTGAGGGGCTCTGAAAGGAAAACACAGGAACTCCACCAAGAAAACATCCCTTATTATCCAGAGGTGCTTCTTTTTCATCCTGAGTTAAAGATCTTTACAGACATGTCTGCCAAAGCAGTCTTTCCAGCAGGCCCAAGAATGGATTTAACTAGGATATTCCCATCCATCCCCCAACCTTCTGGAAGTTCACCTCCTTTGACAAATTCTGGGGAGAAAACGGATACAATGTATAGAGGTAAATGGGTGAGCCCCTAGAAAAAACATTTCTGTCTGTTCTGATCAAATAGACTGACCATCCAGAGAGGTTGGTGCATCTAGAGAACATTTAAAACCCAGTTCTGTTGACCCTCCTTAGATGGTTTACAGGAGCCACTCACTCTCCCAAAAGCAGGGTACCCAAGCGACCCGCTACTGGACTGTCCCTGGGCCTCTGCCCAACTGGAGATGCTAATGCAGAGTGGCAACATGTGGCTGACTGAGAAGGAAATAAAATCACCTTTCTTAGGAAGGGATGGGGAAGGTTGAAGAAAGAAGCTAATTTTATGTGGGTTTTGCAAGAAGTAGTCAGAGATGTTTTCCTCCCAACCTTGGCTTTTGCAATTGCCTGCAGTGGATTTACACTTAATCCAAACAGTACATAGTTTTATCTTTCCTTTGCCTTTCTACAATTCAATCCCCACATTATAAGAATTACCAACTGTACTGGACATATCATTGCTGAACAGAAGTGGATTTATCCTACGGGGCATTCATGCAATCTACTGTAGAGAGACAATTTTACTTGCTCTGAATTCATAACTCTGAGAACCATGCCATTAAGGTGAATTAGGTCCAGCAGCTGACGGCGCTGGAAATGAAGTAAGGGTCCCTCTGTGATCCCTCCCGTTGAATTCACAATGCCAGTTTCTAAGTCCCATCCCAGGTCCCACCAGTGCCCGTCTGCAGTCATTTCCTTCCTCTCTTCCTGAGGTCCTGCTTCGTCTACTCCTTTTAGGCCTGTCCCCATGAAACCACCATAACACTGGAGAATATTTGTCAGGGCCAGATTTTTGCCAGGCATTCTTCTATGACTTTTCATTCTCCTTTCACACTGTCTTGTTCAATTCCCAGCACAAACCTGTGGTGAAGGTACTATGATCATAACTCCTCCACGCCACAGTTTTCTTAGCTGTTAAATGGCCAAGAACCTTTTCTGGAGGGAAGAGGTTGGGTTTGCTTCATATACTTGAACTAAAACAACCCACTGCAGCAGATAGAAGGCAGC